AATCAATACACAAGTTTCAGTTGTGTTTCCGTAAACCAGGAAATTCTTTTTTGTTGCTCCTAGTGTTCTTTTTTAAAAAGATTTTTATTTATTTATTTTAGAAAGAGAGCGAGTAAGAGAGAGCATGAGAGGGGACAAGGAGCTGGGAGCCCAATACAGGACTCGAGGATCATGACCTGAGCCAAAGGAGGTTGCTTAACCAACTGAGCCACACAGGTACCCCAAACCAAGAAATTCTTAAAAATATACGATTTCCAATAACATCAGACAAAGTCAATTTTCCAGGAATAGATCTGACTAAAGCTATAGAAAGGGTGTATGTATAGCAAAAATAGCAAACTTAAGAGATATTCACAGATTTAAATATATGAAAAACACCGTGTTCACAGATTAAATCAGTAATGCAAAAATTAAAATTTTCACAGATTGATTTACAGATTTAAAAAAGTCAATAACTTTTTTCAGTGAAATCTTTTTTTTTTTTAAAGATTTTATTTATTTATTTGACAGACAGAGATCACAAGTGGGCAGAGAGGCAGGCAGAGAGAGAGAGGAAGGGAAGCAGGCTCCCTGCTGAGCAGAGAGCCCAATGTGGGGCGCAATCCCAGGACCCTGGGATCATGACCTGAGCCGAAGGCAGAAGAGGCTTTAACCCACTGAGCCACCCAGGCGCCCCTTTTCAGTGAAATCTTAAGGAAAGTTCCAAAAGCTTTGTGTGTCTATGTCTGTCTGTGAAATGTGATGAATGGATTCTAAAATGTATGCAAAAAAGACACTTAAAATTCTTATGGAATTTTAAAGGGCCGAAAGTAGCTCAGATATCCTTGGAGAAGATGTACAAGATGGTAAGATTTCCTCTCCTGGCTATCAAGACATTTCTAAAGCTGTAGTAGTTAAGATTGTCTGATATTAGTAATGCAACGGACAATTAGAGAGCTCAGAGAAGGCTGTGCACATACACGGACCTTGCTATACGGAAAATGTGGTAGACAGACTAGTAGGAAAGTTCTTACAATAAAAGTGTTCAGGTAATGGGATGTCCATATGGAACAGAACGAAACTGAACCTCTAACCTCGTATCAGATACAAAAGTCAAAACCAATCAGATTAAGGCCAAAATGGAAAGGCAGAACTATAAAGTTTTAGAAAACAATATGGGAAGATCTCTTCCCTGCTGCAGGAAAGGGAAGAATTTCTTAAACATGACCCCTCCAAAAACCCATAAAAGAAAACACAAGTTGCATTACTCAAAATGAAGAATTTCATTTAAAAACATCATAAAATAAGTGAAAGCACAAGCCATCGTGTATTTCTTTTTTAATTAATTAATTAATTAATTTATTTATTCATTTGACAGACAGGGATCATAAGTAGGCAGAGAGGCAGGCAGAGAGAGAGAGAGAGAGGAGGAAGCAGGTTCCCCGCTGAGCAGAGAGCCCGATGCCGGGCTCGATCCCAGGACCCTGAGATCATGACCTGAGCCCAAGGCAGAGGCTTTAACCCACTGAGCCACCCAGGCGCCCCGCCATCGTGTATTTCAATCGTCACTGACAGAGGACTAGTATTCAGAGCATTTTGAGAACTTACACAATGTGAAAACGATCGAGAACCCTAAAAATAGGCAGAAGACCCTAAATAGACACTTCACCAAAGGGGAGATCCAAATGCCCATAGATGTGAATAGGTGCTCAATCTCACTAGTGATGGGGGGTGTAAATTAACATCATGAGATACTACTTCAGTGTTGTCGAACTGGTGCTTTTCCCTTTCATTGTTTATTAGTTGACTTGTTCCCTTTAAATATCTAGACGAGGATGTGGAATTCCACTTGTTGGAAATGTTAGCTGGGATGAAGTGATGAAATGATGAGACTTTTTTTTAAAGATTTATTTATTTGGGGGAGGCAGGGGCAGGGGGAGAGAGAGAGAATGAGAATCTCAAGCCTACTCCTGCTGAGCACAGAGCCACTTGGTGCTCAAATCCTACGACTCTGAGATTAGGACCTGAGCCAAACCAACAGTTGGACCCTTAACCGACTGGGCCACCCAGACGTCTGGATGAGGACTTTTGGATGAACAATTCTGAATTTCCAGAAAACTTGAAAGAATGGTATCCCCAAAACATTTTTTTTCCTTGAACCATTTGGTTGCAACAAGTATGTTGCTACATGATTGAAAAAATGTTATGGTCTCGCAATATACCAAGAGTTGGCAAAGATGTGGAACTACGAGAACTCATATGTAGCATAAATGAGTGTCTAAATTGGTAGAACTGCATTGGCAGATGGTTTGACACTGTAGGATAATGTTCACAATATATCTACCCTATGACTCAGAGATTCCACTCCTAGTTATACCTGAGATATATGTTCAAGAATGTTCACAACAGTGTTGTTGATAAAATTACCCCAAATAGGAGCCCCTGGGTGGCTCACTCAGTTAAGCTGCTGCCTTCAGGTCAGGTCCTGATCCCAGTGTCCTGGGATCTAGGCCATCATCTGGCTCCTTGCTCAGTGGGGAGCCTGCTTCTCCCTCTGCCTGCTGCTACCCTCCCCCTCCTCCTTCCCGCCCCTGGTTGTGCTCCCGCTCACGTGTGCTCTCTCTCTCTCTCTGTCAAATAAATAAATAACATTAAAAAAAATTACCCCAAACTGGAAACAGCCCAAAGAGTCATCATTGTCAGAAAGGATTAATGAAGTGTGGTATTTTTACAAAGTAGAATCTTAGCTAGCAATGAAATTGGATGAATTATAGCTACATACAATATAGATACAGGTTATAAACAAATTAAGAAAAAAAGCAGGACTACACAGATCATTCCACCTAAGAAATTTAAAGACAGGCAACACTAAACACTTATTTATGGATGGAGGCTTACAGGGTAAAAATATAAAGGAGAATAGGAAATGATTAGCTTAAAAGTCAAGTGGGAAGTGATTAGCATAACAGTGGAGATGAGCAGAGCTCTCTCTGGGGGAAGCAGGGTTTAGAGAGTAGGAAGGACTGCTGGGTGGGTGGGTGCTAGTTTTGGAAATTTCTATTTTGTGACCTGTAGGATGGCTGCGCTGGCATACGGGTTTTTTTGCTATTCGTTCAACTATGCACATACCTTTTACATGTGGTAATATTTCACAATAAAGTGTGTGTGCAAGAGAGAGGGAGGGAGGGAGAGAGTGAGGGAGAGAGAGAGAGAGGAGATGGAGGGAGGGAGAGTTGATGGATTCTTGGTTTGATTTAATGTGGTCCCAATAAACTTCTTGTTCGCTGAAGCAGGCATTTGCCAACCACGATAAAATTTTTGCTATCTTAAAAAAAATGGATTGAGGATGTAAAAATAACCATGTAGTTATGAGAAGTCATTATTGTATAATTCAAAGATAGGACTGAAATGTTACAGAGTTGGTGAGCTAAAACAAATTGGTTTCATCCAATGACATTCTTGCCTCTCTTGATCTGTGCTAAAGTTTTGTGAGTTCATAGGGACTCCTGAAACATCTCCCCATTTTCTCCTTGAAGTAAATGATACCAGAGCAGAATACTTCTGTCCAACTGCAGCCCCTCTGGGTTGGAAGAAGTGAATGAGTTTTACTCTGTCTTTGAACTTATGACTTTTCAAAGTATAGTCGTAAAAAGCAGTAACAGTATAACTGAATTGTGCTTGTAGAAGTTTAAGTGTATATCTTCTTAATTCAGAGCCTATATACTGCTAGGGGAACACTGCATTCTTGGTTTTGTCCTTCACAGTTAGAAAGACAAGCTATAATTGTGTAGCTATATATATATAAAAAAAAAATTCTACCTTTAAATAGTACCAAGAGTTAGTTGCAAAACTTTTAGCTTCCCTGTAAACAAACAAAATGAAACCAGAATGACCTCTGTACACAAAAACACACAAAACCCTCATCGAAATGACTTCCTCTAAGTGGAACAAGTAGGGCTCCACATTCTCAGAAAGAAAAAAAAAAAAGATCTGTACATTCTGTATGCAAACAATTGCGTGAGTATTCAAGTAACAGGAAGTTAAGGGAACTCAAAGATCCTTTCAAGGGAGAATGAATAGTTCAGAGAGTCAATGCAGGGAATTAGTATATGTATTCAGGTCATGACATTGCTCCTTTAGAACAAGCTGTTTTCATATGTTTTTAAAAGAATCATCTGGAAGAAAAGCACATTACATCGCAGTAATATGGTTTAAATTAGAGTGCCAGGGTAAAATTAGGCAAGAAAAATTTTGTTTATTATTTTATTTAAAGACTAATTTTGAAAAATCCTCCCAGGATGATTGATTATGGTATGGAAATGACTTTTTAGGAAACAAATGCTTTCCCCAAATATTTTTGTAGGGCTGGTCCTTTTTGGTATGGAGAATACCGGCCAGTTCAAATGTTGTTCTGCAGAAAGATTTCTGCCCTTTTTCTGCAGACTGCAGGCCTGGCTACAACCAGGTTGGATCCCCCAGTTTTCCTTTGCGCTTGTACAACTAAGACAAATCCAGGTAACTGGAAGGAAAGGACCTTAAGGTAGGGTTGATATTTTTGTGTGCTTACAGGGTTCAGAACTCTGGATTAAGAGCTAGATGATCTGGATCACAGACATTTAATAGTTGAATAATTTAGAGCAAGGCACTCAAACTTCATTGGTCTGGGGATTTTTGGTTTTTTGTTTCTTGGGGTTTCTTTTTTTTTGTTCTGTTTTGCTTTATTTTGGTTATTTGTTTTTTTTCATCTATAGCCTAGGATGAAATTACTTATCTTGCTTACATCACTGGGTTGTTAAAACGATCAAATAAATAACGTTTTGAAAAATTACAAGTTATGTCTAGAATCATTTTTTTTTAAAGATTTTATTTCTTTATTTGCTAGGGGAGAGAGGACACAAGCAGGGGAGTGGCAGGCAGAGGGAGAAACAGACTCCCCACCGAGCAGGGAGCCTGACATGGGACTTGATCCTTTGACCCTGGGATCCTGACCTGAGCTGAAGGCAGTCGCTTAGCCGACTGAACCACCCAAGCGTCCCTGTAGAATCATCTTTATTGCGCTCTAGAACAATTCTGTGCTGCTTGTTCCCCCACTCTGTGCCAGCATCCTTTGCCCTTGGCTTGGCTCTGACCTTTTTCTGTTGAACCTGCAGAGCCTATCATGGAGCCAACGATAGGATGGCAGCGGTAGAGGCACAGACAATGGGAGAGGAGGAACCCGAACAGAGCAGTCCCAGCCACTCAGTTGCTCCAGGCTATTAGCTACGCTCTTTGTTAGAGACCTAGCTGCTGGGGGGAGGGGGAGGCACACACTCTTTCTGAAAAGTATTGTGCAATGTCAGAAATGTGTCTGAACAATTGTTTCTTCTAGCTCCAAGTGATCTTGGATCTTTCACTCTGATCTCTAAAATTAAGATTTAGGGTTGGTATGGAGGAGGGTCTCTTACCTGGGGCAATCACCAGCTGTGCCAGAAAGAGCTCCATCCACATCATGGAATCATGAAATGAGTTGAATATGTTGGAATTTGGTTTACTAAGCGGTGCTTGAGACAGGCGGGACTGTATCAATTTCAAAATGGTAGCACTTGACAGAATGTAATGGATCTTTTAATGGGGTATGGGGGAGAGTGTGTAGTGACAGTGTTTTCTAGGCTTTTCTGGGGGCAGATCACAAGCTTTGCATTGATATTACAAGTGCATGGGTTATATGCCTGAACATATAATCATAGGGGTCACTTTAGAGGGGAATTTTCTCATTCTTTATGAGGGTTCACAAGCTAAGGAAGGAATACTTTAAGGTTAAAGAATGTTAATACGTGCGTAGGCATCAATAAAGTTGAAACCAGGACTAACCAGAATAACTTGCCTTACCACCAAAATGGAGTTTCTCAACAATGGTGCTTTTGACATTTTGAGCTGGACAGTTGTTGCAGGAAGCTGTCTTGCGCCTTGAAGGATATTTTGCAGGATCCTTGGCCTCTGCTTACTAGGTGTTGATAGCACTCTCCAGCATTGCCAAATGACCCATGGGGGCAAATTCACTCCAGCTGAAAATCACCGCACTTAAAACCACTAATTAAATTCACTGCACAAAAATATTATTTTGCTTCTGGAAATCTGCTCTTGGGAAGGAACATACTTTTCGATAATCAACACATTTTAGTTCTCAATAATTTCACAAATAATTTTTATGGCTTTATAATTTACAAAATATTTCTATATACAACATTATGGAATTAAAAGAAGGAATCATTATTTATTATTTGCCATATGTGATCTGGTGAAGGACTTACTTCAAATACGTTCTTCCATTTAGATCATGGAATGTTTCTACATGAGAGTCATTTCCTCCATTTTATAGATGATCAACAAGCTTAGAGGTGGTAAGTGGCTTTCCCAAGAAATGTAGTCAGTCTTCTGACTTCAAGTTTTACTACTCTTTATCCCACATCACAGCTGCTAAGGAGGCACTGATCTTTTACATCCCAAGGTGAAATAGCAATTATGATCTATGTGTCAGAATTAGCTATCTCATAAGGGGCCCAAGTCCTTCTTTATAGGAGTGTCACACTTTTCTTTTTTTTTTTTTTAAGATTTTATTCATTTATTTGAAACAGAGAGAGAGAGATCACAAGTAGGCAGAGAGGCAGGCATAGAGAGAGAGAGGAGAAAGCAGGCTCCCCACTGAGCAGAGAGCCCGATGCGGGCCTCGATCCCAGGACCCTGAGATCATGACCTGAGCCGAAGGCAGAGGCTTTAACCCACTGAGCCACCAGGCGCCCATTGTGTCACACTTTTCTATTTGGAGTTTGACAGCCCCAAATCTGCCAAGTATCACCATTCAAAGAAAATTCAGTTCTGTGTTTTGCACTGGGCTAGTTAAAATAACCAAATCACTCACGCTCTCTCTGGGTCAGTCAGTTACACTAGCTCTCCATCTGGCTGGTTTGGTTTTATAACAGGGCATGTGGGTAGCAGGATAAGTAGGGTAACAGACATTACTGAGGATTGGGGCAAAGGAGGGTGATTTCCTTGCAGTTGATAAACAATTTGGAATTAAGTATTAGATACTTTCTTTCTTTCTCTCTCTCTCTCTCTCTTTTCTTTCTTTCTTTCACATATAATGTATTATTTGCCCCAGGGGTACAGGTCTGTGAATCATCAGGCTTACACACTTCACAGCACTCACCATAGCATATACCCTCCCCAATGTCCATAACCCAGCCACCCTTTCCCCACCCCCTGACTCCCCAGCAACCCTCAGTTTGTTTCCTGAGATTAAGAGTCTCTTATGGTTTGTCTCCCTCTCCAGTCCCATCTTGTTTCATTTTTTTCCTTCCTTACCCTCCACAACCCTCTGCCCTGCCTCTCAAATTCCTCATATCAGAGAGATCATATCATAATTGTCTTTCTCTGATTGACTTATTTAGCTCAGTGTAATACCCTCTAGTTCCATCCACATCATTGCAAATGGCAAGATTCCATTTCTTTTGATGGCTGCATAGTGTTCTATTGTTTGTGTGTGTATATATATATATATATATATATATATATATATATATATATACCACATCTTCTTTATCCATTTATCCTTTGATGAACATCTAGGTTCTTTCCATAGTTTGGCTATTATGGACATTGCTGCTATAAACACTGCTATAAATACATTTTCACAATATTTGTTCCAATCCATGAGCAATGGAACATTTTTCCATTTTTTTGTATCTTCCTCAATTTCTTTCATGAGTCCTTTGTAGTTTTCTGAGTACAGATTCTTTGCCTCCTTGGTTAGGTTTATTCCTAGTAGATACCCCTCTTCTTAAAAGTCCATCAGTCACTACATTTCCAGAATGCACCCCATTCTTTCCGGCTTTTGCCCTGGCTCCAATCTGCCATCACACACAGCTTCATCAGCCTTTTCCCTCTAGATACCTTCCTCTTTAGCTCTCCCCTAAATTAGATTCCCTTCCCTTATAGGGCAGAGTGATTAGCTCTCCACCCCGTCCTCAGGTTGGGGTCCTCCCCCACCTATGAGAAGATGCATTCATCCCTCTGCTGAACAAAAGGCCATCTCCTCAAATGCTCACCTTTGTGCAGCACTTAAGGACTGGCAGGCTTTACAATTTCTGCCTTTCCTTAGTCTCCACCCCACCCCCATTCTCCTCCTCCCAAGCTCTGTGAGCAGAAGAGGTCAATATAACGTTTATTTTCCCATTGATAAGAACTGTCTAGCCACCCCCATGCACATCTTGGAAGGAAGCAGTAGTCTGTTTTTTAATATTTTAAAATGCTTTCTATTGAAAAGTACACAATTCCTACGTGTACATCTCTATTAATTTTTATAATCTGACCACACCCGTGTAACCAGCGTCCAGCACAAGACACAGAACATAACAAGCATTCCAGAAGCCTCTTTGTTCCCTCTACGAACCAGTGTAGGATTTTCTAATAACAAAGTCTGTGCCTGGTAGCATGTGCTCTGTAACCAAGAGCATTGCGGTGAGTAACTGAGTTTTATTACTGTGTTGGCATACAATCAGAAGAAGTCACCACATGAACCACGATTGCCTATGTTATTGGTACACAAGTCATTGAGAATGTACTGATGGTGTTAATATCATGGTTCAGGGGTTCAAGAAGGGGGAGAAACCCCTCATATCCCATTCCTGGGCTTTTTCAGGGCCTTTCCCTTTCCTAGATGGAGTTCTCTCCTAGACACCCAAGAAACCCCAATCTTCTTTGGGTTCTACAGATATTACCTATTCTGATAAGTGATTACAGCTCTCCTAGCAGAGTTCACACTACTGCAGGTGAAAATATTACTCTTAGAATCACCAGCACTGCCACTTGCTACTGTAATGTGTCAGTACCTGAAGTCATAGAATTCTCCGGCAGCACATTGATATAGAAGAATTCAAACCAAACCAAACCCAACCCAAAACTAACCAAAAAAACTCCCACCAACCAGCCAAAACTACAACCCCCACCCCAACTCACATGCACCAATTAGATCAGAATCTCTTGAGGGGTAGGGTCCAGCACTGACACTTCTCATCTTCCAGATGTTTCTGAAGGGTTGAACTTTTCAACCGCTCCTTGTAGCACGCCTCTATTTCACTTTTAGGCCTATCAGCAACTCTAATTACCTTCTCAAGGTGATTGAAGATTTACCTCAGACTTGATTGCCTAACTACCTTTCAAACATAGGGTAGGGCATTTTTTCTTTCTTTTTTTTTTTTTTTTCAACCAACGGACTTAAGTTATTGGAAACTGGCAAAACACCTCCACTACCTCCCAGTTTCCTTCCATTGGCCAGATCCACTGGGATCTCTGTGATGAAGATCTGACGGCTAGAAGCCCTTGCCAGAGGAAGCGGAGTCTACTCTAGCGTGGGAGGTGCCTTCGTCCGTCGTTTTCAGTTGGGGACACAAGGTCTCCCTTCACAGACCACGTGTATAAGTGACTCCCGAGTCTCCGAGGGCAGTTTTACTGTCACTACTCACCAGTCACTCACCAGCTACCTTCTGATGGCTTTTGTGAGTCGCACTGGTGATGTGAGGGGGTCCAAGCTGGTGGGAAGGGGCAAGTATTACAGAAATTCAGTTCGGCAAAAGTCTGGTGGGGAGGAGAGGGGTAGGTGTTGGCCGGGCTGTAGAGGATTTCTCTTACAGGAAATAAATCAGTCCCTGTGTCCTTTCACGTCCTCATGTGCCTGCTTTTTCTGACTTTTTCTCCTCCCCTAGGAAGTATTGTGTCTAGAAGATCTTCCTTGGAACCACACCTGGCCTCCACCACCTGAATGCTGCAATAATTAAAGGATGCTCAGTGATTGGAGAAGACATCCCAGAGGTGACTTGTCACTGAGCCTTGTTGGCAGGAGGGGCACACTCAGATATGAAATTAGCCCCAAACATCTCTGACTCCTATTATAACCTTCTCCCTGAGTTTCAAGTAATTGGAAATTCCACCTTTTCTTTTTGCTCCCTTCTCTTCATACTGACCTAAAAATATTTTTTTTTTAAATTTATTCCCCCTTTTCAGTAGTTCTTCATATTCCTTCTTTTGGGGGGGTAGGGAAGGAGGGCTGTTAAAAAGTGGTTTTATTAAAGCACGGGGATGGGGCCTGTGAGCAGAATAAGCTTTCTCTTTATCTTTCTTCAAACCTAATATTTGAAGGGTAGGAGGATGGAGGTTATCCTGAAGAGTTTGGTCCAAATTCCAGACTTCTAAGAGATGTCTTTGCTGGAGAACAAAGCGTACCCCTTAATAAACTTAAAACGCCAGTTTTGAAACTGGGCCCCAGGCAAATAGTCCTCAACTCATCCTTCCACAGTAAAACCCCTGGGGAGTCGCCAACTCTAATGGCGGTCCTAACTGATGAGACCGGCTGGATTAATGATAATCATCATCATCATCATCGTCATCATCCTTATTGAGGATCTGTTGTTCACCAGTCACTGTATATTCATCATGTTACATGATTAACCCTTAAAGGCAGGTATAACTCATGTCATTTTACAAATGAAGAAATCAGGGCTTAAAAACTTGAATGACTTACCTCTGATCGCACAGACAGTAAGTGACCGGATGAAGCTTTGAAACCAGGTCTGGCTGATTAGACCCTTGTGGCCTTTCACAGACAACACTGATCTTCCCCATTTCCCCCTGTAAGACGAAGCTGCTAAGCCCTCTCGGGTGCCTGGTGCTCTTAGGCTAAATCTGAATTCAGAATTTCCCCCAGTTATGACCCATTTCAGGCATGCTGTCCTCCTTCATAGTCCCATGAAGACAGCTATGTACTGTTCTCCACTTAAGGTTCTTTTTAAAAAAGAAATAGCTACCAAAGTATGAATAGTTCCATGTTCTATGCAAAATGTCATGAGTTCATTTTTGGTTCTTCTTGGAAAATACCTCTAGTTTATGAGAGCCTTCCAAAAGCAATCCCTTAACCAAGATTGACGCTGATAGTTGGGATTTTAGGCACCTTCAGAAAAGAGCTGTATCTGGGGGAATTTTAGAGGTTTCTTGAATGGGTCAGTTAGGACCCTTTGGTTGGCAAGCAAAGAAAATGCAAACTCAGCGTAGCTTGAGGGAAAAAACGGCATTCTAGTCAAATACTGGAAATATCGGAGAGAGAATGGTGAATACATAGTTTTATGGAATTTAGAATACAGCACTTTAAATGGACTTTAGCTATGCCTCAAAACATAGGTAAGTCTCTAAAACAACACTGAATGAAAGTGTCAAGTTTCATTGAGTACCTTTGTAATTTGATAAAATTATAAAGTTAAAAAATCTATAAAACAGGTTTAGGGATATATAACTATGTAGTAAATATATAATGTCATGTTAGGCATGATAAACACTAAATTTTTGACAGTTATTATCTGTAGGTCGGAATTGGGATCTAGTAGGAGCATACAGATTGTCTCAAATCTGCAATGTTAAATGCCTTACATGCAGAACACCTAAATTATGATGCTTAATGTATTTGATAAAACTGGATGTTCATTATATTATTTTCTACTCTCATCTGCATGTTTAAAATAATTCATAATTGGGACACCTGTGTGGCTCAGTCAGTTAAGTGTCTGACTCTTGATTTCTGGCCCAGGTCATGATCTCAGGGTCATGAGATCAACCCTCACATCGGGCTCTGTGCTGGGTGTGGAACCTGCTTGAGATTCTATCTCTCTCCCTCTTCCTCTATCCCCCTCTGCTGTGTTCACTCTCTCTCTCAAAAAAAAATTAATGAAAATAAAATAATTCATAATTTTCTTTAAAAAAGGAACCTACTGGCTCGTGTAAGAGAAAGATCTGTGACCATTGGCTATAAGTCTGACTCAATGCAGAGGATCAACTGGTGGTGGTAGGAGCTCTGTGTCCCTACTTTTTGGCTTTACCTTCTTCCCTTTGGGCTCTGTTCAGATTCTTTTTTTTTTAATTAATTTTTTATTTTTTTAAATTTTTATATAAACATAAATTGTATTTTTATCCCCAGGGGTACAGGTATGTGAATCGCCAGGTTTACACACTTCACAGCATTCCCCATAGCACACACCCTCCCCAATGTCCATAACCCCACCCCCCTCTCCCAACCCCCCTCCCCCCAGCAACCCTCAGTTTGTTTTGTGAGATTAAGAGTCACTTATGGTTTGTCTGGGCTCTGTTCAAATTCTTATTCATGATAGTGGAAGGCCTCCCAGTACCTTCAGGGCCATATCCTAACTTTTCATTATCCCTTGTAAAATTGACTTCTCTCTCTTGACAGTTTTAGTAAGAGTCCTAGAATTTGAATCATGTGCCCATCCATGAATTAAATCATTTTGATTATGGGAATGAGCTAGGGAACTAGGCCTCAGTTATGAGCCACCCCCTAAGATTGATGAGACAAGAGATCAACTTTTCTCAAATGACATTAAAGGAGGAGTTTCCCAAGGAAGTTAGGAGAGTGCCTAACAAGAAGAGGAGGAGATAGATTTAGGGTAAAAAGAAACATATATACCATAATAAACCCTTCCACAAAGAATGGTATATCTATAATTATCTTAGAATGATCCCTGCTCTGCTTGCCCATGTCTAAGTGAAAGTGATTGATGGGAAATATATCTCAGTCTCACTGAGGAATATATTTATATATGCAAACTCATAAATAAAATGCCAGAAAATATAACTGAATAGCATATAAAGGAATAATTTGCCAAAATCAATCAAGCTTTATCTTAGCATAGAATGATATAATAAAATTAATTAATATAATACATTGAATTGATAAGTTATGAGAAATAACAAACAATAGGTGAAACTCTATAGGCATTCCCATTAAATTTAGGAACAAGAAAAAATGGTCCTCGTTATCACTATTACTTAATTTTTTTTAATGAAATGCTAGTTAATGCAGTAAGGGAGAAAGCAGATATAAAAAGTATTATAGGTAGAAGGTGGGGGAAATGTTCTTACCCATAAAAGACCAAAACTAACAAAAGTAGACAGATTCGGTCCAGTTTATGAACAAAGAGAACCTGATCTAAAGGACGAGGGCACAAGTTTGCTTTGAAATTGGGGACAGTGGGAGTAGTAGCTAGAGAGCCAGGTTGTTCTAAGAATTATCTTAGAACTAGAGAAAAAGAACAAGATCCAGCCCCCAGGAAATGAGGCTGGCAGGAATGAGTCCGGAAGTAGGTTCCAGCCAGCTGGCTTGGTACTGATATGGCACTGATACCGTAGCACCAAAACTAGGGGAGCCCCGAGTCCTCTAGGGGGAAGAGAGTCAGTCTGAGTCCCAGACTTGCCATTTTGTGTATCTGTCTATACCTCTTGGTATTCTGGAATTATAGACATACTTAACATAAGCATGCTTAGGTGAGAGCAGCAGGGCAAGAGATTTTGAAGTGGTGCTGGGTTGGCTCATCATTGGTGGGTGAGGGCAGACAGCCTATTCCTAAATGGATACTTCTTTAGCAGACAAAAATACTTGGCTGAGAATCATTGGGACAAGCCCTGACAATGCTCTGGGTGTATCAAGGGTTGTGAATGGCATATCATAAAATATATCATTATGTTTTAAATATACTAATGAAAGATGTCTGTTGAAGTTTGAATTTTGACATGGTAGATTAGCCTTTGTTACTCAATAGATCTGACCCTCTGAGTAGACTAGAGGGCCAGAAATTCCAAAACTCAAAAGGCACTGGTCAAAGTGTCTGCTTTCAGTTAAGAGGGAATGAGCATACTTCCCTTCTTCTCTCCCACTGAATGAAGCTCTACAACCTGGTAAAAAATGTGTGGAGCGGGGCACCTGGGTGGCTCAGTGGGTTAAAGCCTCTGCCTTCAGCTCAGGTCATGGTCCCAGGGTCCTGGGATCGAGCCCCGCATCGGGCTCTCTGCTCAGCGGGGAGCCTGCTTCCTCCCTTCTCTCTCTCTGCCTGCCTTTCTGCCTACTTGTGATCTGTCTGTTAAATAAATAAAATCTAAAAAAAAAAAAAAATGTGTGGAGCAACTATTTAAGGACTCCGAAAAGTAAATAGCATATGGCTTGGGAAGGAAGACTAGAATCTGAAATACCACGAAACCAGCAGTGTTTAGCATTCTTTTTCTTTTCGAAATTTCCTGGCCTCAGCTCAATGTACTGGAAATGGGCAATGGGGCCCCGAAAGAGAATTCTAGGAAAGGTCCTCTGGTGGTGACTTGAGTGGAAAACACAATTTCTAAGCTCAGAGAGAGTATGGAACTTAGCCCCTTTGTCCTCTTTTCAGGCGAAAAAAAGGGGGAAAACACTACATATACTGGATATATTAAAAAGGTAGTAACTCTTCACATAAATTCAACAGCTTAGGTGAAATAGACCTATTTAATTCCTCAAAAAACACAAACCTCCTAAACTGACTAAAGATGAAATATATAACCTGAATATATAAATATATATGTATATATACACACATATACTATATTCAAGTTATCTATATATATGATTTTTATTTATATTATATATACTACTATATATATAAAACTGTGTGTGTGTGTGTATTTAAAATAATTAATTCTCAGTTAAGATTCTTTTGAAAATCTCCAACCTCAAATAGTTTTATTGGTAAATTCTACCAAATAAGTCAAGAAGAAGTAACACTAACTCTACCT